AAAAACTATTGGAACTGATAGACAAATTCAGTGAAGTTGTAGGATACAAAATCAACATACAAAAATCATTAGCATTTCTATATGTCAATAGTAAACAATATGAAAATAAATGAAGAAAGTAATCTGATTTACAAATAGATACAAATAAAATAAAATACCTAGGAATAAACTTAACCAAAGAAGTGAAAGATCTCTATAATGAAAACTAAAACATTGATGAAAGAAATTGAAGAAGACACACAAAAATAGAAAGATATTCCATGCTCATGGATTGGAATGATCAATATTGTTAAAACGTCCATACTACCCAAAGCAATCAATCTACAGATTCAATGTAATCCCCATCAAAATACCACTGACATTTTTCACAGAAATAGAAAGAATAATCCTAAAATTTATATGGAACCACTAAAGACCCAGAATAGCCAAAGCTATTCTGAGCAAAAAGAATCAAACTGGAGGAATCACATTACCTGACTTCAAATTATAATACAGAGCTGTAGTAACCAAAATAGCATGGTACTGGCATAAAAACAGACAGATAGACCAATGAAACAGAATAGAGAACCCAGAAATAAATCCACCCATCTATAGGGAATTTATCTTCAACAAAGGTGCCAAGAACATACAGTGGGGAAAGGATAGTTTCTTCCATACATGGGCCTGGGAAAACTGGATATCCATATGCAGAAGAATCAAACTAGACCTTTATCTCTCACCATATACAAAAATCAAATCAAAATGGATTAAGGACTTAAATATAAGACCTGAAACTATGAAACTACTAAAAGAGAACATTGGGGAAACACTGCAAGATATTGGTCTGGGCAGGGACTTCTTCAGTGGTACCAACAAAGCACAGGCAAGCAAAGCAAAAAACTGGACAAATGGGATCACATCAAGCTAAAAAGTCTCTGCACAGCAAAGGAAACAATCAACAAAGTGAAGAGACAACCCACAGAATGGGAGAAAATATTTGCATACTACCCATCTGAGAAAAGATTAATAACAAGAATATATAAGAAGTTCTAACAACTCAATAGGAAAAAATCAAATAATCCAATTTAAAAATGGGCAAAGGATCTGAATGGATATTTTTCAAAAGACATACAAACGGCCAACAGGTATATGCAAAAATGCTCAACACCATCACAGAAATGCAAATCAAAACTACAATGAGGTATCATCTCACCCCAGTTAAAATGGCTTTCATCAAAAAGACAGGCAATAAAGAATGCTGGTGAGGATGTGGAGAAAGGGGAACCCTTGTACATTCTTGATGGGAATGTAAATTAGTGCAACCATTTTGGAGAACTGTATGCAGGTTCCTCAGAAAACTGAAAATAGAACTACCATATGACCCAGCAATCCCACTGCTAGGTATATATCCCAAAGAAAGGAATTGAATATGTTGAAAAGATACATGCACTCCCATGTTTATCACAGCACTATTCACAATGGCCAAGATTTGGAATCAATCTAAGTGTCCATCAGCAGATGAATGGGTAAAGTAAATGTGGTACACACACATGATGGAATGTTATATAGCCATAAGAAAGAATCAAATTCTGCCATTTGCAACAACATGGATTGAACTGGAGAACATTATGTTAAGTGAAATAAGCCAAGTACGGAAAGACAAATCTCACATGTTCTCACTCATATTTGGAAGCCAAATATTAAAAACCATTGATCTCATGGAGACAGAGAGTAGAATGATGGTTACCAGAGGCTGGGAAGAGTAGCGGGGAGGGGGCCTTAAAGTGGGGGTGGTTAATTGGTGGAAAAAGATAGATAGATAGAATGAACAATATTTGATAGCACAACAAAATGACTACAAAAATAAATTAGGGTATACTTTAAAATAACTACAAGAGTAGAATTGGAATGTTCCTAATACAAAGAAATGATTAATGCCTGAGGTGATGGATACCTCAATTACTCTGATTTGATTAATTCACATTGTATGCCTATATCAAAACATCACATGTACCCTATAAAAATATATAACTATTATGTACCCATAATTAAAAATAAAAAATTTTAGAATACATATATTTTGCCAGTGAGTTTCCCCCATAGGTCACATGCTGGAGTACATGAATAGGTAGTTTCTAGCAGTGCAGAAGAATATGAGGACTTCATCAGAAGACACTAAACATTATTAAGAGATTTAGCAACATTATATTGTATTATGAACAAATATAAGTCCTTCATGAACAAGAATACAGGTTTTCTCCCTACATAGCACTTGTCTTTTACAGACCAGGATCTCAGATGAGTATTCCACTTTAGCCCACAAAAGCAGCACAATCTGGAGGCTAATTATAGAACTAGATTGGTTTCTGTCATTTTGTGTGACACTTACTTTTTCCAATGCCTTAATAAGTTAAATATCATGCATCTTACTAACAAGGGGATATATTCCTTTCATGCTACAATCATAGAGGAATACAGTGTTACACAGATAAAATTCCTTCTTTGGTCTAAACTCCTCAGATTGCTGATGAGAAAACTGAGGCCTAGAGAGGTTAAGTGATTAGACCAAGATTACATAGATATGAGCTGCAGGGCAATGACTGGAAGCCAAGTATACCCACTTTAAGCTGAAGTAGATGATTTTTTTTTTTTTTTTGGTTTGCTCATGATTATTTTATTGACACTTTTTTATTGTTACAAAGGGAAAGTACGGTGTCAAGGATGTACAAGGGAAGGCCATGCACATGAGGCGACACAGCATCACCTTAGATCTTAGGAAGCAGTGAGCGTCTGATGGGTCTTTGGGGAAATAAGAAAAGGGGAAAATCCAACAAAGAGCAAGACTAGCATAAGAAAAACAAAAAGGCCACAAGATGCAGTATCTACCTGGAACCTGGAACCTGGAATAGAGGGCTAAGTGAAGTCATGATTTCATCTTTTTGGAGATTATAAGGTGTCTGGGAAAAGAAATGGGGGAAGAACCAATTCCTCAGAGAATTACTAGGGTCACAGCATGAATGAGTGGAATTAAAGAGCCACTGATGACATTGAGGAAACAGCTATATAGGTTTTGGCTGGTGAACGGGGGTGGTAATAATATCACACGGTTGCCCTTTATCGAATCACAGCTACTGCACGCCAGGAACCATGCTAGGCTCTCCACATAATGATTCCTAATCTTTGCAGAAACCTTGGCATTATTATTATCCCAGTTTCACAGAAGAGGACATTGAGGCTATAAGAAGTAGCTTGTCCTGGTTGCACAGCCAGCAAGTCAGGTCAGCAGAGGGACACAGTCAGCCAGGCTCTGAAGTCAGGGTGTTTTCCACATCGCTACTTCCCAGTATTACAATTTGCACAAACGGGTTAGGTGAGAATGACTTGGGAGTTTACAAGTTCCCAGTGAGGGTTAAAGAACAAGGAGATTCAGGTTTGAGCAGGACATGTATAAGTTTCATAGGAGAATTATTGGATCCTGCCTCCTAGGATTTCCAGGGAATGGAAAGGAGAAAAGAACTATGGTGGGAGGTGATTTTGATTCGGGGGTTTCTTTGAGGGAGGGAACTGGCAGAAGGAGTCAGGCCCTGCGGTGGGTCCTAGGCAGCAATCCTGTAGTTGGGGTGGACCTGGGGCCTGCCGTCGCAGACCAGGCCAAGAAGCTGGGCCAGGATGTGCTCTCGTTTCTCTGCTGGGAGCTCTGCATGCCCGGCACCTGGTGCCTCGTAGCCTGCTCCACCTCAGCTGACAGGTTCTCCTGGGAGCCCATGGCCGCCTGCTGCTTGCTCTGGAATTCCTGCTCTCGCTCTCTGCGGTATTGCTCTACCTCCATCTGTGTGCCTCCTCCTTTGCCTGCTTCAGTCACTGGGCCTTCCTTTTCCTGGCATCTGCCACCTTCTCAGCCGCCCACTTCTCGGCTTGCAGAAGCTGCTAGATACCCTGGGACTGACTGGCCATTTCGGTCGTTATGGCCGATGCTGTTTCAAATGCTACCAAGGTACCAAAATCTGAAGTAGATGATTTCATTTAAGTCTGATATGGCTGCAGTGATTTAATTGAAACCTTTGCTTTTTGCTTTTCTCCCTTCTCCTTTCTGTTTCTTAGAGTTGAAAGGGCTCTTGGGTAAATTTGGACAGGATGCACAAAGAATAGAAGAGTCTGTGCTGATTGGATGCTCTGAACAGCATGAAGCATGGTTTGCTCTGGATCTAGGTCTGGACAGCTCCTCTTCCATAAGTGGTATAGAACATTATTCCTACTGAGTACTCTGCAGTGGTTCTCAGACTTTGGGATTTCACATAATAGTAAAATTTCAAAGAAAATTTTGGGAATACAAAAAGGTTATCAACGCTCTATTTTTTTATTTCAGTAAGGATATAAAAAAACTATCGTCTATTATCATTTAAAAGAAAATGAAGGATATTTTAATGCTTTCTTTCTAAGCTAGGTGCACAGATGTTTATTATTCTCTGTACCTTTATACATTTTATATTTCTTAAATATTTCATAAGAAATGTTTTAGAATTCATAACTTCATTCTTATTTCTGTTATCAATAGAGGCAAATAAAAATGTTTCCTTGGAGTAGCTCTGGGTTCTCAGACTTGCATTTGGGAAGCACTTTGCTATAGGCTCATGGCTCCTATCGGGCTTTCCTTCTCTGTTTAAGGGTCTATGTGTAAGTGGAACGATGCTGGAATGAGGGTCACACAGGAGCTGTGAGGTCCCATGTCATCTCTTTCACAGGGATAGCATGTGGCTAATGCAAATGTTCTTATTGCCCTGAAGAGGATTTGAGAAATACTATGTGCTAATGTTTCCTAAACTGGCCTGAATATAAGAATCACCTGGTGCTTGTTAAAAAAA